TGTGTGTGTGTGTGTGTGTGTGTGTGTGTGTGTGTGTGTGTCTGTCTGTCTGTCTAGTGAAATAGTCTTAAGATATATAAATCAAGATGGGTAGGACTTGGGGTGGAATTGAGCAGACCCCATCATAGTGGTGGGCCTAAGTCAGCCTTTCTGAATCATATGTCAGGTACAGCAGCAACAACAAAATACCAGTGATCCAACAGAGCTGTGACTCTTGACAGGTGTGCACCCAGCACATTCTTTTTAAGCACAATATGCAACATTTTAAAAAATTGATCACTTACTAAATCATAGTAAGTTTGAGTTAATTTCAGAGACTGTCACAGAGATCTCATTTTCTGACATTTGGACAGTTAAGTTAGAATTACACAAAAATATATCCAAAATCTCCATTTGAAATTTAAAATGAAACTAAATGATAAGGAATACCACATACAAAGTAGGTATGTACGAGTGGTATAGTGAAAGTGGTGTTTTGATGGAAAATTACTTTATGAGCAGTAAAAACCCAGGGAAAGAAGGATTAAAGACAAGATGTGTAGATGACAAATAGTTGAGAGAAAACTAGGTCAAAAATTTGAAAAAAGGCAGTGGATCGTGGGAAAATGGAAAAAACACAAATTTGAGGTAGTTAAGAGAATTTAGCAGTTAGGATGTGGAGCAGCAGAAGGGGAAAACAGGTAGCAATGCCTTCACAGTTTCTTTGTGCCTAGCTAAGCGAACTGTTTATCAGCAGGTTGTTGAGAATAGGGATTCGTCATCTGACCTATGAAAGAAGGTTGGTTTTGCTACAGTGCCTTTTCTAGTAGAAATGAAATGGAATTTCATTTATTATAATTTAGTTATAAGAAAATTCAGATTTAATAATCATTCTTTATTTTTATAGCCATGAATCATCTTAATGGTCAGAAAATGTATGGAAAGATTATTCGTGTGACTCTCTCTAAACATCAGACCGTACAACTACCTCGAGAGGGTCTGGATGATCAAGGGCTCACTAAAGATTTTGGGAATTCCCCATTGCATCGTTTTAAGAAACCTGGATCCAAAAATTTTCAAAACATTTTTCCTCCTTCTGCAACCCTTCACCTGTCTAACATCCCGTAAGTATTTAAGCTGGAGTTTATTGAGGATACAGATTTTATTTTAATGTAATATAAAATTTATTACTAATCTTCACTCTTTTTTTTTCATCCAATTGTCTTAGTCCTTCAGTAGCAGAAGAGGATCTCCGAACACTGTTTGCTAACACTGGGGGCACTGTGAAAGCATTTAAGTTTTTTCAGTAAGCAAGCTTCCTTCTTTTTCAATTAGTGACTTGATAAAAGTGAAATTTTTCTTCGAGTATTTTTTAGTTTTTTTGTTTTTATTGATCTGCAGTGAGCAAAATTCAAGTGTTTAAACCCTTCTTTTTATGAAGTATCTAATTTCATACTTTTGTTTCAGAAGAGATCACAAAATGGCTCTTCTTCAGATGGCAACAGTGGAAGAAGCTATTCAGGCCTTGATTGACCTTCATAATTACAACCTTGGTGAAAACCACCATCTGAGAGTGTCCTTCTCTAAGTCCACAATTTAAGAAAGGAAGATGAAGACGGGGTGAACCACATTGTTTGCTGTCATCACCTATTGACTGTTCAGAAAAGTGGGGACCAGAGTTTGAGGTTTTTTTTCATGCTGTTATCATTCCTTGGTTATAAAATGAAATGGCATATGTAAAGGCAGAGTCATTAACTGCTATATTTCATCTGTTCTATAGGGAAGCCATTTTTATTGTCCGTTTAAATTTTCAGTTTAATTTTGCTTTCTTTTTTTCAACTTAGTTGACATACGTGCCTTAAAAAGGAAACTAGTGTTGCTGTTGTGCATTTACTAGAAAAATGGAATTGGTTGTCTAGGGCACATTGTTATATGGGAATTAAAATATGTTTAGGCAGGGGTGTGTAAAAAGGTTAAGTTTTTGTTTCTCCTGCTTGGAACTTATTTTGAATTATTGGCTTATCACATTTCTTTATTTAATCAAACAAGATACTTGATACTGAAAGAATAAAGCAGCATTTTTAGTTTTTACTATCTTGGGCTTTATTGCTTTTAAAAAACATTGGCCTTTTGTATCTCTCAATTCTGGTCTAGATTCAGTTATGAATGTAGGCATTAGTTAAAATTAACAAGATGCAGAGTATTAATTTCTTAAGACAAGAAGTGACTTCTGTAAGTTTGAACCCTACGTGGAAAGCATTGTGGAACCTTAACCTTTTTGTACACACTCTTGTGGGATGTGTCATATAAATGTCAGCACTAAGTAATGTCTTGTTGTGGCTGAATATTTTTCGTAGATGTTTTTGAAGTTGACATGACTTACGTGCATTTAAATAGATATCGCCATCCTTAGTTTGTAATTAAGATCTGGAATAATGGTTGTGGATTTCTGAGCATGTGCAGACTGGTCTAGCTAGTTCAGGAACTGGTGCATGTATTTTTCAAAGACAAAGTGTACTGCGAAAATTTGCAGGAAGATTAATTTTGTGGCAGTTTTCTAAAACTGACAACCAGGTGGGACCAAAGTTTATGTGCCTTTAGTCTTAATTTACCTTGCATTGTAATATTCAGTTTTAATAAATCTTCAAAATATTTTGTATTTAGGAATAGATCTGACTTTAATAAAACATGGCTCAGAATCTACAGGTCAAATTTATTTGAACAGTTCTTGTCAACCTGAATTGTTGATTCTGTTAAGTGACCAATACTTTTTGAAATTGATGTACTTAGTTTCAAGATTCGTAGATTCTGTTATCTCTGTAGACAGAATGGTCATGTATATTTTCTATTAGTTGAGTTTTTACATCTTTAGAAATGTAAAATTCAGTATAGTTTGAAAGCGGCACAATTAAAAATTAATTTTCTAACAAAGTTGGGAGGTTTGATGGTTGTTTAATTTCATTTTGTGTGTACTCTGCTTACCTCTGTAGCATGCTCAATAAACACTTCTGTAGCTCTGTACTCACCTTTTCTGTCTTTCTCTGCTGCCTTTCTCTCTCCTCCTCTTTGTTTTCACTCCACTGTGCTTCTGAATTCATGTTTACTCTCTGCCAGGGTGGGAAAAGAGTAATAATATTACAATTCTATGGCTTTATACCATAAATAAACCTAGATGCTGTGAAAATACACCAGCTGTTCTTTTGTTCAATGTAAAGACGGTGACCGCTTTTCAGGAGGACAAGTATTAGACATTTCCCACCCTGTTTTAATCTACTGCTTTAAAGACGTGACCTCTCTTGTAGCTTGTTGATTCTTGCCATCTCTTCTGTTGTTGCTGTTTCTCCAGTAGATTTATGCACGGTTAGATCTTTTGGATTTGCCATGCTCTCTTGCTGCAGTTTCATCTTTCATCTTTTGTGTCTGCTAAAGATTTCCTACTAATCTTAGACTATCTTGTGAGTTTTAACAAAGAGTACTTATGTTATTGGAAAGAAAGAAGCGTATCATCTGCTTTTATCTTGGGTGGGAAGATACACCTTTGGGTGACGTTTAATGAGTGGAGATGTTGCTGTCACTTTTTATACAGCTGTGATTAGCATCCTTACTCACAGTATTCAAAATATTTCTAGTCACTTTCTGTCGGTAGCAAATAACTTCAGAGTTATATATATATAACTTCAGAGTTACATATATATAACTTAGGTTTGTTAGAAAATACCTCAAAATTATGCAAATTACATACATTTAGGATGATAAGAAATGAGCATAAGATATGTTTAAAGGTATTATTCTTAGTATAATCTATAGTCACCTCCAAGAAGAATAATCTAGTAAGAAAATTAATTTTGTTTTCATTAGGGTCAACAGTTTGAGGGTGATTCGGAAGCTAAGTTATTGTGTTTTTTCTTTTTAAATAGCATTGTTGTGTAGAGGCATTCTGGCAGTATCAAACCTGTCTTGCTTTGTTAAAAACCAGCACCATGTATGGTTACAGTGAATAGTAATTGAAGAAAGCTTTATGAAGTGTTTTTCTCAGTATTCCATGGTGCTCACAACACTTGAAAGTAGGTTTCATCACCTTCTCATTAGTTCCTTGTGAGTGGCAGAACCCTGAGCTGTGTGTGGAACGGGGGTTGCTCCAGTTGTTGAGCTGGAGAGAGTTCCCGTTCTCCTTAACAGGGATGACCAGAAACCAAAGCTTCCCCTCAACCACTCTAGCTGAAGACGTGGCACATGTTACACTCTTTTGTGTGCTCCAGTGCCACCCTTGCCTCCCTCTTGTTGTAAAGAAATATTTCTTAATGCCTTTACAATGATTTAAATGTTAGTCTGTTAAAGCAAAATCCCACAGCCGAATAAAAGGGAATGTTCGGGTTTAGCCTTATATTTATTTCTCTTTAAACTATTTGATACCTCAATAATAAAATGTAAGTATTTAAAGTATAGATTCCACATAGGAATGAGATTTTATATATAAAGTAAATTTGCTGTGGAACTTCAAGGTAATTCTAACTAAAGATTTTCCAGACTAAGTTAAGAAGAAAAGACATTTTCATGAGTAGCCTAGACTTCAAACAAGACTTCCTAGCTGCCTTCATACATGGAAAAGGAGCATAAATCTGAGAAAACATTACTCTCGCTTAGAAGAGACTACAGAATTGTTTCATGAAATTGAGTATACACAGGCTTCTATTTTAGCTAAACATGGGATTCTAGAAAATCTGCAAGAATTCAGTAGAAAAATTCTGAGTATTAGAATTTGTTCTCTGATTATTAAAATCTTAATTTGATAGTTATTCTTTATTATTCTGGACCTATTTCCTTTTCAGTAAATATTCAGGTGTTTGAGTTTCAAGTTTCTCTTAAGATAAAGATGTAAAAAGCAAACAAGTAGCTATTGCTAATAGTTTACAAGCTGGAGCTATGTTTAAGGTCCTTACATATAAACACACTCTTTGTAGCTTCCTGTAGTCACCTTTTGATAACCTCCTCTCATCCTTCAGTCCTTTCTCTTCTTCCCTCAGTCCCCAAAACCATTTGGCTTCTGTTTTTGTCCCCCTTACCTGGTATTAGTGTTATATAGGAATTTTAAGTCAAAGAATTTTTACTTTTTTATTAGGAGAGTGTTTAAATACAAAAAAAATAGAAGAATATAGCATACACTTATCATGCAGTTTGACTTCACTAACTGAACACCTTTCTTGTTTCCTCCACTTACCCACCCCAATTAATGCATGTGCCAGACATTTAATCATGACAGTGCTTTAGTTCTGGTCATAGTCTCTATTCTGTAGTAGTATGTGGACTAGCTTAGCTTGTCAATATTAACATTTCTTAAACTCCTAGCACCCTTCTATTCAAAATGCAGTCACCAGACCAGGTGCAGTTAGTGTCACTTGAGATCCTGTTATAAAGAATCTCTGGCCCTGGCTCTGACCTGCTGGATCTGTGTTTTGACAAGATTGGCAGGTGATCCATTTAGTCATAAAAATTTGAGAACATCGGTAGAACACATTTTTTTTTCCTTTTTCTCCCCCTCGGAGGAAAAATCTGTTATATTTCATTAATAATTTTAAGTTACTGAAATAGTAACACTTGAGTAATTAATTGTAGAACTGAAAATGACTGTGAATGCTTAGCTTTAACCCTTTATTTTAAAGGTAAATAGTTCTGGTAAAGTCGAATGGGTAGTATCAGTAGCTTAAATATAATACAGGATAGGACCCTGGTTTTCTGGTTCAGTCTTCTAGTATATTATACTGATTAAGCAGGCCTGCTGTTAATGTTCATAAACTGAGACTGTTCTGATATACAAGTTGATAGGTAAATCACTAATAACTGGAATCAGTATGACATTTTTTATTTAGTGCTAAACATCAAATTTAGCCTAACAGGGAAGGAATTTCCATGTGATGACTTTTTAGAACGACTACAAATTAACAGTCTTAAGCCTGACTAGTGTACCATATATGGTACAATGAAATGATGGCCTCGCTCATTTTGGTAAGTAGACAGTTTTTCTCTTAGCAGCTCTTCAATGGCCTTTATCACTGCAGTTGGGTAGCACAGTCTTCTAGTGGAAATACCTAAGCCTTCCTGACGGATGACTTTGCTATTCTCTGAATTAGAGCTTTGCAATAAATACAGATTTAGCTGTGCAGTCATATGCCTTCAGGGACCATTCCTGAAACTTTAGCCCAGTTGTAATATTCCTGTGCCTAGTTTCTAGAGTTGTGTCTTACTGTCCCCTGCATGCCACCCTCATTGCTGTGTCAGCCCTGCTGCTTTAGCTGTCCATCTGTTACGCTGTTTCTCTTCTTCGAAAATAACTTCCTTCTTCCCTTACTCAGGTTTTTATAACCATAGCCAGCCAACCAGATTATTCCTTTCTTATTTCTGGTTCATGCACTGACAGATATATAGTGCATTATATGTATGTAATATTATGATGTCTTACTATATTTTTGTGTAGTTTTAGTTCATAGTCCAGCTTATTATTTTTTGCACTGCTTTCTTTAGCTTTTATTTAACTCCTGGAATAGTAGTGATTCAGAAACTGGAAGCATTCCTGAATTTTGTCAGTGGTGTGTTCAACTTCAGTTGAGGGAAAGTGATCAAACAATTATGGCTAAAGAGCTTTGTTGAGAAGATGCAGAATGCTTAAAGGGCTGTAAATCTCAGTTGCCATTCCTAGTCACCTGCTGCAGGGAGAGTACAGTAACATTGGTGTCATCGTCTCATTCGTTTTCTAAGTCTGGAATTTTTTGTTGTAAAACTATACATATGTTTTCTTGGAAAAAGCTGAAGCACTGGTATGAGACTAAACTTGTATTCAAAGCTAATTCTCCTCAGCAGCTGTGAGACCTTAAAAGCCTTAATTTTCTCATCTCTAAAATGGAGATAACTACTTTATATGTCTGCCTTTGAAGACTATGTGAAATACAGTTCCATTCCATTGCTGGTTTTATTTTTTCCTTGCTGGAGGGAAAATTTTTTAACATTCCATTTATGAAAGGTTTTCTTCCCTAAAAAGTAATTTGGGCCTATTTTAAATCTTCAAAAGACATTTTATTGGACACTTGCTGTGTGCATTGTAGGGAACACAAAGATAAATAGAGCACAGTGCCATGGGTTTTCTGTACCCCTTTGAAAATGCAAATTTGTTCCAGCATACTGATGGATTAGGGAGCAGTTTAACCATGATGTGAATTTCATGTTTGCTTGCTTGTGAGTTCTCCATGAGAAGCATTAGATGAGAGCAGAATGGTGGCCCAGTTAAACTGGACTGTGCTGGAAGGACAGAGTGTGCACACGTGTGCTCCACAGATGTCACTTCTCCCAGTCTCTCTGTGCTAAGAGCCGAGCCACACACTTCCACATCTGGGGTTAACTGTCCATCCAGTTTTAGGTACCCCCAACACATCACATCTCAAGCTGCAGCACCTCCAACACCCACCTCCTCAAACAAACTTGAAGTCTTTCAGAACAGTACCATTATATTTATTAACTACATGTTAAGTGGTTACAGACTTGCTTTTGAAAAAAAAATTTTGTGTATCATTGATGAAGATTTTGAATATTGTGTTCCCATAGATCCTGTAGTTTTTAGTACACAGTTTTGCATAATGTAGCAATTTTTGGAAGTACTTACGTAATGTTCTAGTAAAATTGACTTTCTGCATTTTAGCTTTTAGTGTAATTCACCTTGTGACAGTCAGGATTTCGCAAAAATAATGCACCAGTGGCCAGGATTTAAAGTTGGGCATGTTCCCATTTGCTAATCGGGATGGTCTGACAAGGCACTTTAGTTATCTGTGCCCAATTTCTCATCTGTAACATGGGGCTGATGGGAATCTGTGTCCTTTTAGGGTTTTTTTTTGTTTTTTTGTTTTTTTAGTTTCAAACAAGTTATTTTATTTAAGCACTTTAAAAAACACCAACTGTTGTAGAAGTAAAAGTTTGGGAATGTCTTTTGTGACACAACATCACTTTTTGAACCTGTTTTAAGATAGCATGATTATAACATTTTTCTGAGTGAGCAGAGATATTCTTGAACCTCAAAACCCATGCTCTTTCTATATGATCAGGTTATCACCTTTACTTTCCATTTTTGTTTGTTAAAAGTAATTGAATCTACTTGTTTGTATCTTGTTTACAAATTTCCTAGCAGGACAGCACCAGAAGAT